AAATTTGACTACGCCTCTACATTCTCATTATTAATGCAAAGTTCTTTTGTCATTTTGACTTTGGGACACTGTTACCAAAGCTAGTGGGAAATATCAAGTTCCAAAAACATGGAGGAAACATGTACTTACTGGGCCGTAGAGTGAATGTTTCGGTCCATATGAAAATGACCAGGGACACTACCAGACAAAGGTTTTTTAATGATTTGTGGTAAGTCAGCCTCTTCCCATAAAACATATTCAAAACTTCAACTTTTCCATAAGAGGTTTCTGTGGGAAAAGCATTTCATAATCTATCATTTAAATAAGTACACCACCAGACACGGTTTGAAATGTTCATCTCTTAACACTTCCTAAGATGCAATACTTCAGGCATACAAACACATAAAGAAACTGTGATAAAAACCTATGAGTAGATCACCAAGGTTAATTAGTTAAGTCTTTCATTTATGACTAAATGAATTAATTAGCATTCAGTTTTTATTCTATTCAAGATATTTGTTGAGGCAGAAGGTTAGCAGAAATACCTATCCATTTTCCTATGCAAAAGAACTAATTCTTTCTGTGATTTCTTTTGTCCATATTTTAAAAAAAACTTTTGGAGCTGAAACATATTAAAATTGTTTTTACAAAATTATAATCTTCTTTACTTTCGATCGCTGTGTTCTGTCTAAAGTGTCCTCTCTATTCAAAACAAAATTACACTGTCTGCTTACGTACCATAATCAGTAGCTATTGGCCCTAGCAAGGGTAAGTGCAAACTCATATACTCTAGATCAAAAGTGACTCTAACTAGACTCATTCAGCTGCAGTGGAGAGTTTGTACTTGGTATATTTATATGAAGTGTGAGCTGGCCAACTCTCTATAATGTATTTCAACTTTACACATCAATTGTTATTGCAGTTATTTAAATATAACTGATGTTTTATTTTTTATAACTATCCTATAATTTGCATATTGAAAAGTGGGTCTCAAAGATACTAGTAATACTTTTTAATTATAAGTATGTATACATGAGTATAAATGGATATTTTGTTATTGGGGTGATTAGCTCTTTTCTTTCAGAGTAGGCCAATACTTTGCACTGGAGTGCTTCTTCTACCACAATAATACCATCATATTGTGTTTTGAGCTGAGCTGTAGCCAGTCATCAGGCTCATTTAAATGCCTTTATTAAATAAACAAGGTAAAGCTGCGGTTTTCTCTTTCTTTGGGCTTTGTATAATATTGTAAGAGAAACACAAACACCACTAAATGCTGTTGTATGTTTCCAGTGGGTTCTGCCACTGTTGCCTATCTGCAGATTTGTGGGGGCACCTTTTGCTTCCCACTTTCTTTTGAAATCGTTGTCCTCTTGTCAGCCTTCTCCAGGGGCTTGCCTGGACAGCATGACTCTGTTTCAAATCTCAAGGGTCCCGATGACCTTTTGAAACCAAGTACTCTCATTTTTTCTGGTTTTCCCAGGAAAGTCATGAGTCCAAGAAAGTGGGTTTTAGGAAAGAAAGGGAGAGAAGAATGTTCATTTTCTCATTCTGCTGACCTTGTTTAGAAGTGTGAAAAGGTGCAGTGAGTCTACTCAGGCAGTAGGAAATAGGAATACTTGGACTGGAAATGGAATAGGGAAATAGAATTAACTTCTTGGCCATAATATTGTAGCTTGGTGCAGGGAAGTGAATTAATCAGGCTTCTTGCACTGCTAGCCTCAGTGGCTGTCACCTGTGGCCTTGATCATGTTGCTGAAGAAGGCGCTTGAGAGCGTGGGTGCCAGGCAGGCGTGCCTGATTGCGGACACCTGGAGCATGGGTGCACACGCGTATGCGAGTGTGCACACCTGAGCCTAGAGGCCAGGGAGATTAGGGTGGCGTCCCTCGGGAAGTGAGGACGGCTAGGAGAGGACCAGTGACTACAGAAGAGGCTAGAGGAAGTGTAAAGATTTGTGGGGGGCTGGGAGGCTGGGTTGCCTGCCTGCACCCAGCCCCCTGCCTGCCCTGCGCCTGGTTGCAGCACTACCCTTGGTTTCACTGTTTTTAACACAGTACTGCAAATTCCCAGAACAACAGAATTCACGTATATACAATGTAGAAATACATTGTCAAGCTAAACAGAATTAAAAAAACAATCATTTGCCAGTTGGAATTCTTAGCACCTCGCCACCTCCCCCTTTGCTGACCAAGCTGGCTCTCGAGGGGTATGAAGCGGCAGGCGTGGGTGCTCCCCGCCCAACGTGTGGATTGTAGGTGCAGGAGAGCTCGCCAGGTGTGGCTGCTCATCTCAGGCCTGATTTCCACCTGCCCGAGGATCACGCTTCCGGACACGCCCACGAAGCCCGCGCCGGGGCTCGTGCAGGACGCCGACAACCTGCACCTCCTGGGCCCTCGCCCGCGTGGCGTCTCCTCCGTGACCTGCACAGACGCTTCTGGCGTGGCGGGGTCCGGCTCCACAGCACCCCTCCCCCGGGCTGTGCAGCTGCTCCCCGGCCCCGAGGCCTCGTCCAGCCCCGCTGCAGCCCACGCCACGGTGAGTGAACTTGCGGGGAGGTGGGCGGCTGCTTCGGCTCCGCGCGCGCCCTCGGCCCCCTTGGTTGGAAAGGGCCCGCTCGGCCTTAGACCCTGACATGGGCGGCCGCAGAGTGTGCGCCCAGGTGCGTCCTTGCTCCCAGGTGCATTTTGTCCATTGCTGTGACGGGGTGTAGGGGCTTTCAGGAGAGTGTGTTTGCTGAGCGCTGCTTACTTGGGGCCGGGGCATCTCGGGTGGGCAGGAGACATGGGAAGACACCAGCCCACTAAGAGCAACGGGCGCGCCGGGTAGTTGGTGTTAGAATCTGTTTTACAGTGATAGGGGCACAGTTATACAAGCACTGTGGTGTCGCGAGCTCCTCAGGAACACACGCTAAAGACTGCAATGATTGCCAATGTACAACTAATCTAGAAAGATGACGTTGCAACCCCCCCTCCTACCCAATCTGTAGAGGGCTGCAGCTTTCTGAGGCAGGGCCTGTTGGTGACACTGGAGGGCAGGGGCCTCTGCCAAGGACACTGGGAAGCAGATGTCCCAGGTCTCACTGGACGTAGGGAAGTTGGGCTCTCGGAGCCCGCGGGAAAGTCACTCCCTCCCAATAAAGAGCAGCCACTGAGCAGTGGAACTCGGCCTGCCTAAAGGTGGTGGGGGAGCAGGGGGGAGACACAGGGCAGGGATCCGAATTGGCAGCTCTGCTCCTTGATCTGCCCCTTCCAGGGCTGCTGTCCCAGGACCAAGCTGAGGGGAGCCAGGTAAAGGAAGGCTCCTTCCTTATCAAGCATTTCTGGGGCACTCCATATATTAGGGGTTTGCTTAATCAGAAAATACCCTTGAAGGCCTGCAGAAGGAAAAATATCAATCATTCACTTCTAAGTGTGAATTAGCGTCCTTATTTGATTTGCTGGATGCCTACCTGGCTAGGTGGAGCATGGGGTAGTGTAATAGAGGGTGCCATAGAGCCTGCATGAGGGACTCTGGGCAACCTGGTAGAACATGAGGCCATCGGACCCCTCAAGAGATGGAGGGAAAAGCCATCGGGTCAGAAGAGAGCAGAGGGTCAGAAAAACATGCAAAGGGGATAAAGAAAAGAAGGCCGTAGGAAGGTAGGAGGCAGAGTGTGGGTGTAACCTGTGGGTGTTGAGTCACACAATGCAAAATCAGAGTGGGTGCAGAGCTTCTACGACAGATGGAGCCTGCAGAAAGGTACTCTGCCTGGTGGGGATTATTCTAGGAACTTTATTTTATTTTTTTAGTAGAAGAACTGGTGGTATAGGCCGGGGTGGGGTGGGTGTGTGTGTGTGTGTGTGTGTGTGTGTGTGTGTGTGTGTGTGTGTATTCACCAGAGACAGAGCGGGGAGCAGAACAGGCAGACTGACTGAAATACACTGCTGAGGGGGGCAGTGGGCGAGACAGGAGAGGTCTGCTGCGCCATGTGGATTAGCAAACTGCTTGGGGATTGAACTCAGGCCGTGGTGGTGATAGCACTGAGACATAACCCCTAGGCCACCAGGGAGGCCCTATTCTAGGAACTTAATTGGCAAAGGAATCCACACTAAACTCACAGGCAGATGCTTCAGAGGTCAGTCTCTTCATTTACACATATTAACAGTTGAACATTTCTGACCCATGAACCACCAAGGCTTCTTTCATCACATGAGACATGTATGTAATGCTCTAGATGCTTTGTTTCTCGATGTCCAGTGGGCAAAGCAGCCCAATTATATTTTCTTTATAATATGTGCATTCTTATTTGATCCCAGAATGCCCATTTTACTCATCCACTATGCTAACTATAGTTTCACCCACCAGAGACCATGTCTAGCTTACCTAAGATTACCACTGGTCAAAGAAAGTTTTGGGCCTTTATTGATTTTTGGGTTCTACTCATTTTTGGGCATCCTAGGCGTGGGGGCAGTGCTGAAACAGGAGCCACATCCTCATCCAGTTTCAATGCCAATAAGGCTTTTGTATATGAGGCCATATTTACAAATCACTGTAAGGAGAGAAATGTGTATAATGCTTCAGTCTTTGAAGTCGAAGTCAATAAATGACTTTTGTTTTATGTACCCTTATCCATATCACATCCTATGGGTCCCCTTTTGCTACAGAACACAGTTCATAACAGAAAAAATGGATAGGAAAAAGTGTGTTTTATGATCTCATAAGCTTTTTAATGTAATTGAAGAAAAGTATTAGTGCCTAAAATGACACCTCAAAGATAATAGATTCAGCTTGTAATAGGCTGTTGAAGTTCCAAACACCTCACTCAAAGGCTGTCTCACTAGAATGCTCCTGATCAGCTGGGCTAGCATGGTGGCGTATTTCGGGGGGGCTCCTGGTGGGGAGGGTTACAACTAAAGGCCACCATCCATTGACAAAGGGCAGCACGAGTGTTTATCCTGCAAATCCAGTTCTGAATGGGCCGCCACATGGACAGCAGTCCGTGGGGTACAGAACCCAACTAGAAGAGTCCTTTGGTGCCCCCTCAGTAAGCTCTACGGCATTCGTAGGCCCCCCAGGCCAGGCTCCCATCTTCTTTGGTCCACGGAGAAGGGTCCTGAAGAACAGAGGTGTCCGTGCCTTGGTCTGGGGCCAGGGGCACCACCTTGGGTGTTAGATCATTGGGCATCGTCATGAAAGGGGTGAAGGGGTAGGGGGGAGGGGTGGGGTACCCGGGTGTGTGGTACAGATCCTCCAGTGCATGCAATGAGTAGGACTGGGCTCCAGCTAGGGTGCCCCCCCAGCTCGAGCTCCGGAGCTGGGTGGTGCTCCCCGACTCCAGTTGGGCAAGGCAACTCGTGCTGGGTGACAAGGTCTGCAGGGGGTCCGTGGGCACAGGGTCCGGTTGGCTGAGGCCATCAGGCACCGTCTGCTCCCATGAGTCCCTCTAAGAATGGAAAGTGAGGGGAGTTAGCCATTCGGTGATACACTAATGAAGTGGACAGATTTCCTCCCCAACATGGACGCTGCTGAGCCCTGCTCCCCAGATGTCTTGATGTCCTCCCACCCCCTGCTGTCTACCTCCCATTGTTAGAACTTCATCCCCTTGTGGTGGAAACCTTCCAGTTTTCTATAAGATGTTTTTAGAGATCTATAAGATCTTTATGAGCTCACCTCTGGGGAGGAATTGAGAACAAGTTTCCAGAGCATAGAAATATTGTGGGGGGAGCCTGGGAGGGAAAGAGAAGCCCCAGGGACTGTGCCTAGAGACATTCCAGGGAAATGCCCCTTCAGGGCACTTTTCTTAGGTGCTGCAGCGATGATGGAGAACAATCTGGCAAAAGCAGTAGCGAATTAAAAAAATGGATAGAAATCCCTTCTCAGAAGCCATGCCCACATAAACCACTGGTTAGACCCTCTTGTCATGGCTGGCACGGACTCTTGCGGGAGGCTGGCTGGGACTGTATTCTGACCGAGACCCTGTATCTCCCTGGCCATCTCCCCGGCCTACTCGGTAGGGGTGGGAGTGGGAGGCTCTCCAGAGCCCTGGGAGGGCCAGACCAGCTTCAGCAGGTGGCCAAGTACTCGGGCTGGCCAGAGTCCTCCCTACAGGCGAGCTGCCCGCAGACTCACCAGCACAAAGTGTGTGGGGTCGCTGGGGAAGGGTGGTGGCAGGAGTGGTGGCAGGGGCGAGGCGCTGAACAGAGAGCCCGGGCTGGGGGTCAGGGCTGCGGGGCGGTGGTCGCTGTAGGGCTCGGGGAAGTAAGGATCCAGGAGGGCCGGGTGGCTGGGCCCCGCCGCCGCCGAGGACTCGCAGGAAAAGGGCTTGGCCACGCTCGTGCTGCACACGTCGCCAGGAAACTGTTTAGAGTTGTGGAAGTCTGAGTCAGACAGGAACGATCTTCGGACCCCATAGTAACCTGATGTGACCGGCGAACCTGTTGCCAAAAGAAAAACACACGGGCAGAAATGTCCCCGTAGGAAGGTGAAGGCATCTCTGTTGCAGCTGAGCCTCTCCACGTGTGAAATGTTTCTGACTGTACATGCCTGACACCAAGGCTGACATGTCAACGGGTAAGTGTTCCATGGGGCTGCATTGTCTCTTTTTAATTGGGCCAGCAGAAGAATAGGCCTACAGTTCACTCAGCCTTTGGGGATGAGTTCATCTAGGATGGTGCACTAGCTCTGCCTTCATTGGCTCATTTGATGTTCATTTAGTGGGCACCTTCTGTGTACCAGGCACTGTGCAGGGGCTTCAAGTGGTCAGAACAAGAATCCCTTGGCATTTGCATTTTGTCTAATGAAGCATCTTTTTTTTGCCCGGCCTCAGAGGGCGCTCTGCTCTCTTCCCTCCTGCCAGGACTCAGAAAAAGAGGTGTTTCTGGGTGTGTTACTGAGATAGCTGTCTCAAGATAAGGTGATAACCCCAGCCCCAATCAGAGGCAGGTTGTACTGTTGTACTTCTTTGTATAAGGACCTGTAAGATACCTCTCTTGTCCCCAGCAGGCAGCAAAAAGGGCTCACTTGCTGTGAGATGATTCGGCTTCTGTGCAGCCAAGGGGACTGTCAAAAATGTGTTTTCTGGCTTTGGGGAGTGTCATGTGGTTTGCTGCCCTCTAGTGGCCACACCCGCCCTCACCTGGCTCACCTGGTGCTGTGTAAGCTGGGAAGACAGTGACTGGCATAGGAAGGCCCCTGGGGAAGAGCTGCAAGTGACAAGAGTTTCCCTGACCATAAGGTCAGGGAAACTGTTCCAGAAGAGAAGAGATATGTTTGCTGAAGGCTTTTGACCCTGCAGGTCAGTTGCAGCAGGAAGTACATTATCATGCAGAACATGCTCAGGGGCACAGACTCAGGTCTGTACCCTGAGGGTATACGTCCCTATTCGTGGGGTGCTCTAGTTGGCTAAGACCAGCATCCTGAGGTCAACAGGGCTGATCTGGGAAGAAGGCGGGGGTGCTTGTCCTTTATACCTTCTTTACCTGCCCCCCATCGCAGTGGAACACTTCTGAACTTTGAACTTTGTTCCCCTCCTCCACCCCCACCCCCCCCAGCAAGCAGGAGAGATTCACCCAGACTCTTCCTTAATTGTTATCATCACTCGGTCCCCCATCTCATCACACCTTGCCCTTGCCAGTGCCACCCACTGTGGCTCTTTCCGTTTGCTCACCGCTCTCTCTCCTGAGTTATAGCTCTCTTTCCAACCTACTTGTGAGCTCTGGGGGGGCGAAGCTTATGTCTTATATGTTTTCTATCAACCCGGTAGAAGAATGCCGTCTTCAACAATGACATGTAAATTTATTCATGCATTCAGAAGAAATCAAAATTCCTTGTTCAAACTCACAGTCCAGTTTTACTCATTCCACTTTCATCTTAAATTCAATAGCCCCAAACTTCTAATCGGCTCATGATGGAAGGCTACCGTTAGGGGTTTCATCATAAACCTATTTCCCAGAGAAAAAAAAAGTGATGCAAGTGGAAATGAATGTTGGTAAATTAATGTTCCTTGGGGTGCCGTGAATTTATAGCCTCGCGTGGCGCAGGCTGAGAGCAGAGTGAACAATATGGGAACGTGCCTTGCGGGGGTCTCTGCCTGTATTTCTAACTTCCAAGTGTAAACTATCTTAAGGAAAAAAAAATCCTCTGTTGTCAAGCACGTTTTTCCTCTGTATGAAGAGGAAGAATAATTCTAGATGGAAAGAGAAGCTGCAGAAATTTTCTTCTCTAGAAGAGAGCAGAGGAAGCCAGATTCCAAGGGACAGTAAAGATAGTTGGGGCCCAATGTGGAGATATTCTGATACATGGAATCTTCTCTTGCCTGTATTTCTTTCTGTGATCCAGCTCTGGAATTTACTAAAATGTTTGAGAAGGCCTCTGCTTCTTCCGAGTTAGAGATCAGAAGGAGTGTGTGTGTGTGTGTGTGTGTGTGTGTGTGTGTGTGTGTACACGCATGTGCGTACATGTAAGAGGGCACCCAACGCTATCGTCCAGAGTGCCCTTTTTCCAACCACACAGGAGTATTTAAGGGCACACATGCATTGAAATGAATACAAATGTGGAATAAATGGCTGACAGAGAGCGAGCACCTTGCTCTTGCCGGACTCTCTCTTCTCAAGCTGCTGCCTCATTTCTCAGAACACAATGTCAGAATTTTAGACATTTTAGAATTGTATCAAGGGCATACTTGCTATGGCTTTGCCCAGTAAGCTGCTTCTCGGCCAAGGATCAAAAGACTGCCGTCAAGACAGACTGGATTCTCAATCCAGGAACCACTGGTTGAGATCTGTCTTCATGACTTTGTGTTTTCAAAACAACCATCCTTTTTAAAGGAGCAAAATCTTGAAATGGCTCTAAGAGAACAGGAGCCCAAATTCCTGTTTAGAGGCGAAAGGAAATGATTCAGTGCTGGTTGAACTCACCTGGCATTTGGACGAATGGAGGCTGAGAGGATGAACTGACACTGCCCTGGAAGGCAAAGAGAGCCAGTGATTTCCTTGCTAGTTTGCAAGTTTAAAAAAAAAGATCAGGAATGCATTTTATAGCAGTTGTTTTCTGATTCTAAGAAACACTATTTAGGGGGTTAAGTTGGGGATGGGGGACAATGAGAGTACCTGGGAACAAAGTTTTATAAGGGACAGGGAGGCCAAGGTTGTAGATTCTGGTAAACATGTCAAAAGCACTGGCTAGAGGCAGTGGAATTGTTTATCCTTTGTATTTTAGTATTTGCATTCATATCCTTCATCAAATACATTAAGTGGTCATGTGAATATATGTATGTGCATATAGATAAAATGTACATATAGATAAAATGTACATATATACACACACACTCACACACAGGCTTGATATTTGGCTTCAACACAGCAACCACTTTTTTACTGACTGCCTTCAAGTTGCACAGAGGTGATAAGGGCCTTGACTGTGACTTATCCTAGTGCCCAGAACAGTGTGGTTCATGGTAGACACAATAGATACACGTGGAGCAAAGGAACAGCCCTCAAAGAGCCGCAGGCTAGGGAACAGGAGAGGCTGGAGGGTGTTGTCAGTTGAATTATGTTGCCCCCCCAAAAACATTGAAGTCCTATAATCCCTGGTACCTGTGAAGGGGGCTTTTTTGGAAATAAGATCTTTGAAGATGTGACTCTTAAATTAGATGTGCCCTAAATCCTTATCTTGTGTCCTTATAAGAGGAAAGACACAGACCTTTGAGTGGTCACTCTCAAGCCTTGGAGTTCAGGGGTGGCCAGTACTCCAGAAACCAGAAGGGGCAGGGGAGGCTGCTCCTCTGGGCCCTTCAGAGGGAGCCTGGCTGCTGACATCTTGGTTTTTGGATGCCCGGTCTCCAGATCTGTGGGATGACACACTGCGGTTGGACCAGTTTGTGACCAATTGTTGCAGCATCCCTAGGGAGCTACTCCAGGGAGTAGCTGACCCCGAATGGGTGGGAAGTGGCGTGGTTGGGGAAGGAGGGCATGGGGTGGGTGCCGAAGCTCGTGTTAGGGTGGGTGGAGGCACATCCTGGAGGAGGTGATGCCTGAGTGGCCTCTGAAGGAAGGGTGTCCAGGTGCATGGAGCCTTAAAATAAACAGATGCAAATCTGGCTTTAAGATGTCCAGGAACAAAGCTCAGTGGCAAGTGTTGCTTTTGTAAAAACTGACTCATCAGCATCCAGTTCTTTGGATCTGAGCTCTCAGCCCTGACTCTTACGGTCCTATATATTCTCAAGAGTTAGAAGAGATTTTAGAGGGTCTCATCCAACCACACAACAATGCTGAAACTCCCTCGGTTGTTAACATTGGGGGCATTTACTCTAGTGACAGAGAACCCAGCACCCCCCGAGAAAGCCCACTTCTTCTTTGGAGACTCCTGTTTACAAAGTATGGGGAAGAGAGTCATTTTCTTTATTCCCACCTCTTTGGTCCATGCAGAATAAACTTAATGTTTTTTGCGTGCACGGCCCCCAAGTATTGGATGGCAACCCCTCATTGCCCAACTGTCCTAAGCCGTTTGGGCACTGGGACAAATGCCATGGACTGGGTACCTTAAAGAACAGCGTTTCTTTCTCACGGTTCTGGACACTGGACGCGATCAGTGTGCTCTCTCTGGCTTGCAGGCAGCTGGCTTCTCACTCCTGTGTCCTCATGTGCTTGTGGGAGACCATTCTGTGTATCTCTTCTTAAAGGGGACTGAACCATTCATGTGGACTCCACCGATGAGCTAACTGCCACCTCCAAACACCATTGCCTTGGGAATTAGGACCTTGGCATATGAATTCTGGGGGTACACAAACTTTCCTTCTGTAGCATGAGCCTGGAAGTTGACCTTCTCCAGCAAAATATCCTCCAACCACTGAAAAGTAGCATAGTCTTTAACAGGGAAGATGCTGGAAAGTGTCTGTGTTTGAATCCCAGTTCTGCCTTCTATTAGCGGTGTGATCTTGGCACATGAAATGAGACCATATATATCCCACACTTGCAGTAGTTCTTGGTGGAGAGCAAGCTGTTGATGGTGTTAGCCCTCATTAGTCAGATGCACTTTATGTGGAATGTATGGTATATTCTTCTAACATGCTTTGATTTATGTGTTTTCTTGCTTGATAAGCTTGCTTGATAAGCTCATGCTTTTAAGTGGCAGGAGGGAGTTGGACATGCAGGGGCAGAGGTAGGTGTTGATTGGGGAAGGAAGGGGTGGTGGTAGTTAAACAGAGCAGCTCTCGTGTTTGGACACATGACCCCCGGTGTTTCCCATTTTTACCTCTGGCTGCCCCGGCCTTTCCAGGAAGGCTGGTTTCCTGCCTTTCCTTCTGTGTCAAGGCCTCTGCCTCAGCCTCCTTCCTGGATGACTCCCAGCAGGGTGCGGCAGGGTGGGGTGGGAGCTGTCCTGGGTGCTGTCTGGAGAGATGGCTGCTCGCTCTTCTCCCTTCCCGCTCCCCTTAAACTGCTCCGGCCAAGGCTGGGGCCAGAATGGGGCCTTTGATGACACTTGAGCACTTGCCCAATTTGTTGATCCTTAAGACTGAGCCCCCACTCTCCCCTCAGCATCTGCCAGCCGCTCATTGGCCTCTGCCTCCGTCCCAGCAGGGTGAGGCTCAGTCTGGGCGGATGCAGCCCCTCAGCTTTAGGCCTCTCTGCTGTGAAAGCTTCCCTATGTTTCTCTTGCACCCCCCAACCCTCACCACTAGAATCTCCTTATACCTCTTGTCTTCTGCCAGTTTTCATGATTACAGTGGATTTCCAGCACTGCCCCACTCCAACCCTATTTTACTACCCGATGACTACAAAGATTTCGGAATTACCATCCACTTAATTTTATTTATTATTTGAAGAAAAGAAGCCTCTTGTGTTGGTTTCGCCTACATGATTTTGCCTTCTACCTCCTGTGGAAATTACATACTCTAGTTGCATTCTGTATGGTGACTCATAAAAACCTACCTTGCCTATTTACCAAAGCTTGCAAACAAGTCTTGAATCTCCCACGGACAGATGAGATCCTTAGACTGTTAACTCTTACTGTTCTCTTAATTTGCATGAGTGTGTTACTTCCTAGCATTTTAGCTTTTTCTTGTTATAAAGAATTAGGTATCATAATTTGCACCATCATTTTAAAGTACATTTGTACTGGATTTACTTACACATTACCCACGTTCCTTGCTTACTCTTCTTGGTTTGTTTTTTGGGTTTTTTTTTTTTTTGGTAAGTTTGTTTTCTTTCTTTTAAATTAATCCTTTAAAAAATTCCTTTAGTGTAGCTGGTATTGGTGATAAACGATTGTATTTTTAATGTATTGGAGAATACCATTTCTTTTGCCCTTGTACTCGAAAGATAAAATTGCTGGGATCACAATTGTTGCTTTATAGTTTTTCTTCTTTTACTCCTTTAAAGCCTCTTTTGTTTTTGTTTTTATCATTGCAGTTGAGAACTTTGTTATTAGCATTTTAGACTTTGTGTATGACAAGCTTTGTTTTCTTTTGTTGACTGCTTTTTTTAAAAAAGATTTATTTATTTTTGCATACAAGAACTGGGGTATAGGCCGGAAGTGCGGAGGGTGAGAGGATTCACCAGAGACAGAGTGGGGAGCACAATGGACAGATTGACTGAAATACACTACTGAGGGGAGCAGCAGGCAAGACAGGGGAGAGGTCTGCTGCGCCATGTGGGTAGCTCCTTGCCTGGGGATTGAACTCATGCTGCAGTGGCTTCAGATAGCTTCATAGGTTGTGTCTTAACCCCTTGTGCCACCTGGGAGGCTCCGTTGACTGCTTTTTAATATGCTCTCTTTATCTCTAAGGCTCCTTGAGTTCACCTCATTTTATATAAAGGTATATTAAAAATATATATATATCCTGCTTGGTATAGGATGTACTTCATGTGTCTGGGGATCAATGTCCCAAGGTCTGGAAAAATTTCAAACATCATGTCTCTAATGTTGCCTTGTCTATAAGTCTCCTTCTGGATCTCTGTGTAGAAGTATCTTAAACCTTTTGCTTTTCTCATTGTCTCTTAGCCTCTCATTACTTCATCTATAGATATTATGGATTTCTTCAGCTCAGCATCCAGTTCTCTAATTCTTTCTCTAACTGTAGCTAATTTGCTATTAACTCACACATTGATTTTTTTATCATCAGTAATTGCATATTTTCTTATTTCTATAAATTCCACTTTAGTTTAAAAAATCTGCTTGATAATTTTTGGTAGTCTCTTGTTGAGAGTTTATTGCTTATTAGGTTATTGTATGGTTTGTATTTGGTAATTCTAATACCTAAAAGTTCTGGGAATTTAAATTTAGACTGTGTTTCCTGCCTGTCCTTCATAGCAGTTTGCTTCCTAAACCACTTGGCGATTTTTGAGTGACTCTCATATCTGGTAACTTTGATCTGTGGACATCTGGGATCCTAAACTGTGGTTGAGTTCTTCCAGTAGATATATGATTCTATTTCATGGGAGTCAGCTTCCATGTAGGTTCTCCAGTTTAATCCTGGGGTCCCATGCTCTGCTCTTAAGCTTGATACAGTTCAGAGACCAGTCTTCATGCATTAAATTTAGGTGGACCCCTGTCCTCCGGGGGCCGTTTTTTTTTTTTTTTTTTTGTGACCATCTTCTCTTTATTTGGAGTCTTGATTTCTGCTCAAACCTTCCCCCCAGCATCCCATGCCAACCCTTCTCTCTCCCCACCGCAGCTTTGGAGATTGACCTCACTTCCTGCCTGCTCAACAGCTCAAAAAATACGTTTTATGCAGGATCCAGTACTGTGTGGGTGAGACCATCTCATCTGAAACAGAATGAACTCCCTAAACATTGAAGCTAGATGTAGAGCTCTTTCTTTTTACATAGCACAAAACATTTATTGTTCTGTGATTTCCCAGCATTCTCAACAGATATTTAAATTATATTAGAAGTAATTCATTAGCACATATTTGTAGTAATTTCATAAATATACTGTTAGGTAGATGGCCAAATTTATTCTAT